GCTGGCAGCCGAGGCTGCCCGCGTACAGGCTGAAGAGGCAGCAGCAGCAGAACAAYTGCAGCTACARGCCGATGCAGACGCAGATGCCCAGGYTCGCCGCAAGGAAGCCCAGGWYYTGCTGCAGCGGCATGAAGCCAACAGCATCGACAGACTCAAGTACTGGCATTTTGAACCGAACGGCGACGAGGCAAAACCGGAAGAGAAGCACAAGGAGTTCGTCTCCAAACTCGTGACGCGGTTGTTGTATGCTTGCAACYGCCAACGGTCAGAGTTGGAGAGACAGTACCAGGACCTGACGCAACAGCATCAGGAGTTGGCACAGCTCCGCCGCATGGTGCAGAGCCACGAGGATGCAACACGGGCACTCAATGCCCGATTGCTGGACCTGGAACAGGCTGTACCAGGACCAACTGCAGGGGCTTCAAGCAGTGCACCCTCTAGCCGCCAACTGGAGGACCGCGTTGACCATGTAGTGGCAATGCTCGGCGACATCAGCACTTTCGCTGCGCTGACCACCACCATCAGCAGTCAGCTGCATACATTGAAGACCGAGGTCCAGCAGCTGCAGACGACGAACGCGGATGGCAACCCGAAGATGTATAAGATGCCAACTTTCAATCTGGAGAGGTTCGACGACTACACGCAGCAGGATCCGGTCCTCTGGTGGGAAGCATTCACAACGCAACTCAGGATTCTGCCCGTAGCCAAGCATGCGTACATCAGCGCCCTGTTCCTGAACTTAAAGGGCGGATGCCAGACCTGGTTGAGCCACCTGGCAACCTCCCACGGCGTCGACGTACCAGACTTGAAGGACCAAATCACATSGGAAGAACTRACACGGCTGTGGAAGAAGCGGTTCATCGTCGACGACGYGCCRACACTCGCCATMAACCGTTTGTTCACCATGTCACARGGCAACACTGCAACACRGGATGGGCTCACAAAGTGGCAGAAGATTGYGGCAGTGYCCAATCTRGAGYTGCCTTTCAMTCATCTCAGACGTGAGTTYTACAACAGATCCTGYGCTGCATTGAGCCAGGCTCTTGGTGATCGCGAGCAGTACTCCACTTTCGCCGAGATTAWYGACAAGGCGAGAGAGATCATCAAGACCSACAGGTCAGCTGCACACGAGAAGTCACCATGGCAGCCGACCTATGTGGAGAAGGTACGAACTGGTCCGCGACAGCAGSASTTCGCTGCAGTCCAGCAGGACRGTGGAGATAACSCAGCAGCCACTCCAGCATCAAGTGACGGAGATCAGGTGGCTGCTGTCCAGCCGCGAAGCAACAACAAGTYCCRCAAYAATGGGAAGGCGAAATCYGCAKCGCAGGTCGGAAATGGACAGCCAGGACAATTTCCATRSGTCAAGTTTGGCTTGACCGAGGCGGAGTACAAGGTCCGCGGCCGCTACGGSAGCTGCTRTTGGTGCAACAGCACCAAGCACAAGACCTCCCTGTGCCAAGATCAGGGCAAGGAGGATGTGCGAGCCCGCCTCAGCTCRGGAAACTGAGCTCCGCKRAAGGTGAGGYGACTCCACCTTCTAYTCCGCCARATTCGGCCRCCTTGCTAGCGGCCTCCTGCACATCTGGGGAGGATGCGAATGTCGCAAGTCCTYGGTATACTTACGAGGATTATGCTGTCCACTTGGTTCCACCGCTGGACCAACCGCKCCAYGTGCMACAGTCCACSGCATGCACGGTTTCATCACCATCRGCAACCGATTCGGCAGCTTCGCCRCAATYTATCGYYGGGGATTCGAYGTCATGGTCAAGACTTGAAGAGYTCGACCCGTTGACGTTCACGGACTTCCAGTGGATGSYCGTTCCCTCGACCGGAYGATTGCCGAAACCGCATTGCAATGTGCTCATGGCACAACTGTGGGACTACTTGCACACTGCAGTACCAGCTCCGTTGATGGACGCCGGAGCAGAGGTTGTCGACCTTCACGTTTACATCGCGAAGATCGATCACGAGTTCAAGACGCAACGGTACGACGACATCCACGCACCATTGCTATACATACGCATTCAGATCGGAGAGGCGACCTGCAGTGCCTTGATCGATTGCGGAGCAACTCGCAACTACATCAACCAGGACTTCATGGTATGCGCCGGCCTTGGCCCACGTGTCCGGAGGAAGCCCCAGCCGACGCAAGTCACATTGGCGGACGGTCACACGCACAGTCAACCGACCGGTGCATTGACAGCGTCCCAGTGTACTTTGCCCCTCATGCAAGTGAGGCGGTGTCCTTCGACATTCTAGACACAAAATTTGACATGATCTTGGGCATGTCATGGCTGCGAAGCAAGGATCACCCGGTGAACTTCTTCAACCGCACCGTTCACGTTCGTGACCGGAACGGAGTATTAGTTCCATGCACGGTGCCTCTTCCTCATCCTTCGATCAGCTGCCACGTGGTATCCGCCGCAAGCATGCGAGCTTCCATCATCCGAGACGACATCGAGGAGATGGGGGTGTGTTTTCTCCACGCCCTCCCGCCCCATGACACTTCATCGATGGACTCACCTTCGGATCCACGCATCACCGAACTTCTCGACGCCTACAGCAACGTGTTCGAAGGCCCGCACGGAGTAGTACCGGATCGACCCATCCTCCACGAGATCATCCTCGAGGACGGGGCCGTACCTCCGCGCGGTTGCATCTACCGAATGAGCGAAGAAGAGTCAAGTGTTCTCCACACACAACTCGACGACCTTCTAGAGAAAGGCTGGATTCGGCCTAGCTCATCGCCATACGGTGCTCTTGTTCTCTTCGTCCGGAAGAAGAACAAGGATTTGCGGTTGTGCATCGATTATCGCAAGCTCAACGCGCAGACGATCAGGATCGCCGGCCCTCTCCCACGCATAGATGACCTTCTCGAGCGATTGGGCGGCGCCCAGTTCTTCTCTAAGCTGGATCTCAAGTCAGGGTACCACCAACTCGAGATTCGCAAGGAGGATCGCTACAAGACGGCGTTCAAGACACGGTATGGGCATTTCGAGTGGCTGGTCATGCCATTTGGCCTTACGAATGCCCCAGCCACTTTCCAAGCGGCTATGACGACGGAGTTCCGACACATGCTGGATCGTTTCGTACTTATCTACCTTGACGATATTCTGGTTTACAGTCGGAGTCTGGACGAACATATGGAACACATGTGCATCGTTTTGAAGTGGCTACGACAAGCCAAGCACAAAGCAAACCACGACAAGTGCGAGTTCGCACAACAGGAGCTGGAGTACTTGGGACACTATGTGACGCCGCAAGGCATACATCCGCTCGCGGACAAGATCGAGGCCCTACGAGTATGGCCCGAGCCCACCAACACCATGGACATTCGTTCATTCATGGGATTGGCGGGCTACTATCAGCGATTCATCACCGGATACTCCAGGATTGCTGCACCTATGACGAGGTTACAGTCGCCAAAGGTGCCATTCGTATTCAATGACGACGCACGCCGCTCATTCCAAGCACTTAAGACGGCTATGCTCATGGCACCCGTCCTTAGCATCTATGACCCCACCCTGCCGACTCGAGTGACTACGGACGCTTCCGGCTATGGCATTGGGGCAGTCTTGGAACAGCACGACGGCAACGACTGGCACCCTGTGGAGTATTTCATCCACAAAGTGCCTCCCATCAACTCGCTTGATGATGCAAGGAAGAAGGAGCTGCTCGCATTCGTGATGGCTCTCAAGCGCTGGCGGCACTTCCTCCTTGGGCGTCGTAGGCTCACATGGGTCACAAACAACAATCCATTGACCTACTACAAGACGCAGGACACGGTGAGCAGCACGATCGGACGATGGATGTACTTCATCGACCAATTTGACTTCACACCGAAACATGTCCCCGGCCTCTCCAATCGCGCAGCAGATGCACTCTCGCAAAGACCTGATCTTTGCGTTATGACACATCATGCCTTCGAGGAGCTTCAGCGACACTTCATCCGGGCATATCAGTCTGATCCGGACTTCGGCACGCTCTATGCACAGCTATCTTCGGATCACCCGCCGGCCAGCCATTACCGCATTGCYGACGGGTACTTGCTCCTMCACTCGAGAGGCAAGGACTTACTATGTGTCCCACGCGACCGTCRTCTTCRGACTCGCCTCCTCGGCGAGTAYCAWGATTYACGACTCGCCGGCCATTTCGGAGTCAAYCGCACTATTGCACGACTTCGACAGCGATTCCGATGGCCCGACCTCATTACCGATGTCACTCGGTATTGCGACTCTTGCGAAGTTTGCCGACGTAGCAAGCCCCTCAACCGCAATACCTACGGCGAGTTACGCCCGATGCCTATCCCACGGGAACTCGGTCTCTCCATTGCCATGGACGTCACCGGTCCGTTTCCTCGCGACCAGCTCGGGCACGACGGCATCCTCACGGTTGTGGACTGATTGAGTAACTACGAGCGTTTTCTCCCTTGCCAGTACTACTCCACGGCTCCTGAGATGGCACGGCTCCTGAGATGGCACGCCTCCTGCACACTGGTTGGATTTGTGGCCACGGTGTACTAGAAGACATTGTCAGCGATCGTGACACTCGTTTCATGTCGGCGTTTTGGACTGCGCTCATGCAGGAGTCCGGCACAACAATGAAACCAAGTTCGGCTCAACATCCTCAGACAGAGGGGCAGACGGAGCGGGCACATCAAACCGCTCAAATAATACTTCATACGCTCATCCGTCCGGACCAGAAAGATTGGGTTGACCGCCTCCCCGACATCGAGTTCGCCTACAACACTTCGGTGCATCCGACGATCGGCGTGACTCCATTCGAGTTGCACCACGGTGGACGGAAAGGCCGGATCTTCGCCGACCTTCTCCTCCCTCGACCAACCGACATTGACGCTACCTGCTCTCCCGCTTCCGACCGGAAGTACAGGGAATTGCTGACTCAAGCCCGCGCAAATATGCAAAAGGCTCAAGTCCGCATGCAGCAGCAAGCCAACAAGCGTCGCGTACCATGTCCCATCCGCGCCGGTGATCTGGTTTGGGTGTCCGCGGAAGAGTTTGCACTGGAACAGGATGTTTCACGCAAACTGCTTCCCAAGTGGTTTGGACCTTGGTCTGTGACAGACAGGAGCCGCGGGCAATGAGCCCGATGGCCCTTCATTTGTGATCAACATTCCAGAGCATCTGACGGTCCATCCGGTCTTCCACGCCTCGAAGCTGGCAACATACACGCCAGCCAAGAGCGACGACTTTCCGGACCGACGATCGCWRGAMCCTCCTTCTATGGATGGCCATCAGGAAGTTGACCGCGTCATCTCCGATCGCAAGTACGGCAGCAAGCCGCGGCAGTACAAAGTCACATTCAAAGCATGCGATCACGACGACACTCGGTGGATTTCAGGCGCAAATTTGAAAGCATCCGCACCGCTGATCTACGCGCATTTTGAAAAGCGAAGGTTAGCTCAGGAAGCTTCACGACCAGCCCCTCCCACCCGGACTGAGGTCCCTCCCTCAGACAGACAGCTTCGCCCTCGCAGGTAGGCTCGGTTCTTCAAGGAGGGGGGGGTGTGGCATACTACATAGCCACACGGGCCCTGCAGGGCCCGTCCCGGACATTCAGCCTAAAAGCCTAAAACTTAGGGCTCACAGGCCCCGTTCGTTTCAGCCTGAAAGTTGAAAAACAAGGGCCTGCAGGCCCTACCCTGTTTCAGCCTATTTCTGGGTCTTTTCAGACCCAGAGTTTTCAGCCTGAAACGGAGGGCCACTTTCAGGCCCTCATTGTTTCGACCTGCCCCTAAGACTTAGGCACGTAAACAGGGATGCGGAACAGGCCAGAAATAGCCTGTTCCTCACGAGTTTGAGCAGGAGCTGCAGCTACAGCCCCTGCCTCCCTTCGGCAGGCTCAGGAGGCACACCCGGTAGTACATAGGAAGTTCCCATGCACTTCACGGGTAGGTAGTTCAGTAGGCACGAGGTAGTCTTCAGGATTCGGCCGCAGCGCTCAGGAGGAGCTCTGCAGTAGTCTTCAACGCTAGGCAGGTATTAGCGCTAGCTGTAGTCTTCGGCGCTGGGCGCCATAGCTGTAGCTGTAGTCTTCAGCGCTGGGCGCTGGTAGGTGGTAGATCGTAGAGTGGGAGAGAGACTGGCGGAGGCCAGTGGGACTTACCTGTGGCGCCATCGCTCCACCTCCATCTTCGTGGTACCTGCATCAAGGCGCCAACTTCACAGGTTAGTACTGGACACAGAGAGAGAGAGAGAGAGTTCTTCTTCTTCCTCT